CCAGGGAGCAGCTAAGGCGAGAGGGCCGGGGACCCGGGGCGAGGGCCCCGGGGATGGCGGGCACACGAGGCTGGGCCGGAGTCAGCGACGGCGTGGGGGGCCGCGGGCGAGCAAGAAGAGGATGCGAAGGTCCCGGGCCCGGGGGGGGGGGGGGGGCTGGAGCGGCCACAAATTCCTGCCTACACCTTACTTCACCCCTTTCCCTTCCCAACAAGGACTGGAAGGAGGCAAGAGGATAACTGCCTTGTGGAGGGAAACGCTGGGCTCGCCCCCGAACTAAGCGCCAGGTGGTGCAGGTGTCCCAGCATCCCCAACTCCGAAGAGAAGCTTAAAAGGTCGAGCAATGAACTCAGTGGCCAGTGCTCCGGGCACAACCTGGCAGTATCAACGGGGCCGTCTACCAGATGCCAAGCAGTTCAGCAGCAAAGGGGTCCCGCACAAGCCCAGTGGCAGCGTGTCCCTCGGCTCACTGGAGCCAGACGTTCAGCGAGGCCCTGTTCTACCGGGTCAAGACGGGGTGGGTGCCCACGCGTGGGACTCTGCTGGTGCCAGGGGTGGGTGATTCTGCTGGAAGCTGCCCTGCACGGTACTTAGCTGAGGCGCCGGGTCCAGAGAATGACCCGGCTCTCGTGCTGTGGGGACCAGGAGTCCGCGCCCAGGTGCTGGGGTGACCACCGCCGGAGCCAACGCCAGCAGCACCCGTCCCGCCGGTGCCGGGCCACCTCGCCCCGGGCCGGATCCCGCCGCCGCCGCCGCCGCCGCCCCCGCGCCCGCTCACCTGTGCCCGAAGAGCCGCAGCCCCGGGAAGCGCCGCTTGCTGAGGCGCCGCGGCGTCTTGTCCAGCTCGGGACCCGCGTCGCGCTCGGAGCCGCTGGACGAGGCGGAAGCCGACTCGGAGTCGCTGCTCCGGGCCTCGGGGCTGCCGTCCCGCGGCTCCATCCGGCCCTAGCCCCGGCCGGCGGCGGGCCCGCGGGAGACGCCCATGCCGGGCCAGCGGCCGGGCTCAGC